GGCTTTTGTCCGGAGAAATGGCAGGCACTTTCCATCCCTTTGAAAAAAAGAAGGCCTTTCGGAGTCTTCACGAGAGATGTGGATTTTAGGGGCGACCTTAGGTCATACAGAACTAATCAAGCGAAAACAATAAGAAAATTAGCCTGACAGTCAGCAAGTATCTGAGGACTTTATCAAAAAGAATTAGGAATGGACAAATTCACTGGGAGCAAAGGATCAAATCTGCAAGGTGGCATTGTGTGGTGGGATTAAATTATTTATTCATTGTTAATTTATTTATTTATGTATGTGCAAATGACCTCGCTGCTGCAGGTGCTGAGGAGTTTCTGAAAAGGCCCAGTTTTAGAGCCAAGGCTAGAATATTGGTCCATTTAACTCATTCTTTTCCTTAAGGCGATCAAACAGTGACTTTTATCTAGGAGATAGAGGAGGAAAAACCATATGTGTACTTGGAATGATGCGGCGTCTGAGCAGCACTAAGTACCCAAGTATTTCAGTCTGATTCAAGAACGCTGGGGGAGGCTCTGTGCAGTTTAATGTCCAGCAAATTAGCAAATGAATGCTTATGTCAATATGTGAAAAATCCCTAGTTGATTTAAACCGATAAAAAGCCTCTTGGGAAATAGAAGAAAATGCAGGCTTTTTCTTTTTTCAAAAAAAAAGAAAGAGAAACAGTACTTAATAAGTTTTACTGAAACTTACAATAGTTGCAGGAAACAACAGTTGTTTACATGGATGCTTATATATGCATGAAATATTTCCAGTGCTGCCATTAGAAGAAATATAAGAAGCCTTTGCCAGCCACTCTTCAGATCACATGTTTACTATTTGGAAGAAAACAGCTACAATCTGTGAAAGCTATAGAGCCAGCTCAGATACCATCCTTGCTACCCCTCTCTTAAAGGTACAGGAGGTCTAAAGACTTGAAGCAGGTCAGTCTTTATATTCCACCCTGCCTCCTGTAAGTTGAAACCTGAAGATGTAATAGATAGGAATCTTATTTTTCTCCAAGTTTAGACAAGTAATAATAAAGGGCGAAAATTGTCATCTCATGTTGCTGTTGACCCAGAAGAGCAAAGTCACAGTGGGGATTCTGTGTAGGACATGACCCTGGGGAAAAAAGGAACACAAGAACTCAGCATGGGGGTTGAAGGCAAGAAGTTACACATATTGAAAACGATAGCATCACATCAGTTAATGCCCTGTGATGGGAAGTCCTGCTGGTTGTGTGTCCTTCTGCAGAGAAATATTTGGAGTTTGAATGTGCCTGGTAAGTAAATCTCTTAATTAAATCCCCCAAGAGTTGAAAGTACTAATAAGAGATGGCTCATCACGGCAAATGTCAATAGCTGGTGTCAGAGTTCGTAAAACTGCACTGCCCAATGAGAACTGAAATCTCACCTGAGTTTAAGCAGAGATGGAGGCTTATAAAGAGCATCAAGGCATGCAACACATTTGCCTGCTTCTCTCAAAATATTTCCTATGTTTTGGTCATTCTCAGAGCTTTCACCATCATCCCAAAATAAATGTCTCTGTCAAACTAAGAGGAATAGATGGTAATGAGGCCAGTAAACAGTGTGATATTTTCCCATACTATTAAATATTAAATTTAAGGCTCATGGCCAAAATTTCCAGGACTCACCTGAAAACTTTCGGCATCTAAGAGCCCTGCTTATCACTAAAATATTAACTCAACATTTTATTTGAGGGATTGAATTAAATCAGTAAAAATGCCAATAGTCCTATTGCTATTTGTCTTCTGAAACCCTTGCAATCTGTCAAGGAGCCTTCTGAGATGTTACACTATTATATACGCTGTCAGAGTACCATGCACTAAATGGTGCATTGCAGAACCTGTTGAGCTTGAGCCAGATTTTCTGTAATATGCTTTGATGTGATATTGTGTATAGCAGGATAACTGCTTCTCATTCATCAAACGTATTCTGTTAGAGCGAAATCCTATCCCTTATTTAACAGTCTTTTGTTACCAAAACTTCCACACATTCAACATACAGACTACAGGATTTAGCCATTAATGAACATTAACAACACTCTGCATCCTAGGAAACTGTCTTGATGTTACAACACAAAATCCTACTGAAATCAATGGGGCTTTGGGGGCCAACTTTTCAAACACGGGTGCCTGTGTTGCACCTCCAAAAAAAGTGCTACACCTACTGCATGTGCAAAAATTCACATTTCTGCATGAAAAATGGCTGCTGCATGAGCCACAGATGCGTGTGAGTGTTTATGTGTATAACTTTGGCCTCCACAAGAGTTGTAATCATTATTACAGGTCACTAATAATAGGTAAAGTTTATTAACCAGCAATATGAAAAGGAGCTATAATACCTACACAGCAGACACTTTTCAAAGGCAAACAAACCCTGCTATGCATTTATTTAGAAGGGTCTATTATACAAAAAGGATTCTCAAGTTCGACCCTAAGCTTCCCTATAGGCTTTAATTCAAGCTGCTAGCAAGTTAAACACCAAGTTGTTGAGTCTTAACTGCTATTTTAACTGAAGTCAGCTAATACAGGTAGCTAACCCATGTTAAGAGCACATCTCTTTTCTGCAGTTTAGACATACCCTAAATTTGCAAAGCTCTGCATAAAATTGGATTAATCACAGAAACAAAATCAGATTCTTACAGCGCAGAAGCCTTAACTAGCAAAAGTCAATTTTGAAATCTAACCTCATTTCCTGCTTCTACATGTCATTTATCCGCCAGTAGTAAATATGAACACACGGCGAGCTATTAGCTCTGCCAACATCATTAGCAAGTTTTGGCTAATGGGTGGTGCGATGAAATTATGGGCTTTGAATTCTCTGAGCTGGGCTCAACACAGGACAAGAAGGAGATGGGGTTCAAAGGCAGATTTATGCCATCTTTGCAGCTCCCCAATACTGGAGTCAGCCCCTGGCACAGTATGGAACAAAGGAGTCCCCAGACTTCAGTGGAGTTTTGCCCATTTAATAGATTCTTTTCCAGCAACTGCAGATACTGAAGGCCCAGTCATAAAGAGATTTTGTAAAATAGTGCTCATGGAACACGCTGATGTCAGTGAGGTTGGAAATTCTGGGATGTTAATTTACCAAAGGGGTCCCCCCCCACCTTTAGCTACTCTTGGCAGGTGTAAACATGAGCACTTATTCACACACACTCAGGAGGCTAACATCTGCCCAATACAAGCTTTAGGATTTCACCCACACAACCCACTAATCTCAGTGTGTTTTGCTGGTGTTATTCTAATGCATGTGTGGGCTGGTCTTCACTACTGGGGACATCGACGTTGCTGCAATCGATGCAGTGGGTGCCGATTTAGTGGGTCTAGTGAAGACCTGTTAAATCAACGTCAGAGCGCTCTCCGGTCGACCCCGGTACTCCAGCTCCCCAAGAAGAGTAAGGGAAGTCGACCGGAGAGCGTCTCCCATCAAGACGATATAGTAAGACACTGTGGTAAGATGACTAAGCTACATCAACTCCAGCTACGTTATTCACATAGCTGAAGTATTGTAACTTAGGTTGACTTACCCTACTGTCTTCATTGCGCTGTGTTGATGGGGGACACTCTCCGGTCAACTTCCCTTACTCTTCTCGGGGAGCTGGAGTATGGGGGTCAACTGGAGAATACTCTGCCATCGATTTAGCGGGCCTTCACTAGACCCGCTAAATTGACACCCGCTGCATCGATTGCAGCAGCATCGATCTCCCCAGTAGTGAAGACAAGTTCTAAGATTGGGCTCAAAATAGGTGCCCTGTATGGTTCATTACTATTAAACTCCGAATATCCTAGAACTTAATTTTTTGTTTCAATTCTTAATGATCTGTTTCTAGGGGAAGCAGTGTTACCCAGT